ATCTTAAATTCTGAGAATTCTGTGGATGCCCAAGTACATCATAATCAGGAAAGTCCCAACACCTCATCATGACTCAGACACATCTCACCTGGCTCATTGTCCCTGAAAGAGAATTGAGGTTACCAGCTGCTGGTTAGTTTTCGTGCTGATCTGAATAAAGGAGTCAGGTAGGCAAGGGTGCCCTCTCCAGCCTCATGCCTGGATTCTTTCACGTTACCTGCAGTGGGTTGAATAGTGGCCCTCAAAAGGGTATGTGCAAGTCCTAATCCAAGGGAACTGTGAATGTGACCTTATCTGGGAAAAGAGTCTTTGCAAATGTAAATTAAGGATCTTGAGATGAAATCACCCTGGATTATTCTGGCGAACCCTAAATCCAGTGACAAGAGAGAGAAGGGAAGGAAGCCCAGATCCAGAGGAGAAGTCATGTGAGGACAGAGGCAGAGATTGGAGTTACACATCCACAAGCCAAGGACTGCCTGGAGCCACCCGAAGCTGGAGGAGGCAAGGAAGGATTCTTCCCCTCAAGTCCCCAGAGGGAGCATAGGCCTGCTGATAGCTTGATTTCAGAATTCTAGTTTCCAGAAGTAAGAGAGAGTAGACTTCTATCATTTTAAGCCACCAATTAGTGGTCGTTTGTTAACAGCAGCCCTAGGAAACTATTACGTGCCTCAATGTGCAACCAATTTCTCTCAAAAAGAATAGAATTATCCCAAGTGGCAAAGGGAGGGCTCCCTGTGAAGCTGTCACAGCACCCTTCCTGCCACAGTGCTGCCCCCAGAGCCTTAAGATGCCACAAAGCTCTTAGGGGTGAAGGCTTGTCTGGGCACACTGCCTGCCTTGTGCTCCAACAGGGACAACATGCCTCCACCGCACATGGTGATTGCAATCACATATCTACGTGTATAGAAGATTTGGAAGATTCTTTTGAAATGCTTTTCCATTTTTTCTCAAATGGTCCTGGGTGCTCAACGAGGCCATTATGTAACATGGGGAACTTGACAAAGATCACTTAAATGGTTCACCCAAGAATGAGAACCAAGGTTTTCCAACTTGGACCAATGCTCCTTCTACACCCCTGCTGGGCAACAGTGCACACCTGGGACAGCGAGGAGGCTGTGAGGTGATGGGAAGTCTGCAGTCATGTTTAAAACCCGAAAGTATCCTAGGCTCCTTCATTTTAATTGGATGAATAAAGTGTGTGTCCTGAGCTCCTCAGAAAATTAAAGAATTAGATGTGGTGCTTCTCAAACTTCGCTGTGCATATGAATCACCTGGGGAATCTGGTTAAAATGCAGTTTCTGATTCTTTAGGTCTGGGGTGGGACTTGAGATTCTGCATTTCTTACAAGCTCTCAGGTAATAACTGAGCTGCCGGTTTGTGGACCACACTTCTTGAGTGGCAATGAGATGTAGCTGCTGGCTAATTTCTTCACACTTACAGCAGTAATTAACCATGCTTGCCCTCTAATTCAGTAGTAAGAACTGTGGCTCTGAATTTATCATTTCAGGAGAGATTGATGACACTCAAGTTCGCAGTGCTTAGAGAAAAGTTTTATTGTGGATCGATAACCATAAAAATATTCATACCTTTTGGTCTAGTAATTCCACTTATGGGTGTTAATTCTAAATAAATAACCCCAAAAGATGGAAAAACCTATGTGAACAACAGTGTTCTACTACAGCATTATGTATACTAAAAAAATATATAAAATCTGTGTCTATTATAAAGGAAATTATTACATTAATTATAATAAATTCACTCAAGACAAAAGCAACATGTAAGTAAAGGAATAAAAATTATATGAATGACACGGGCAACAAATTAATGGATTAACCATTTCAACAGATTTTTCCCAGATTGAGAATCTATGGAATTAAAGTATAACCATGGGCCCCTATCTCTATTGTATTTTTTTAAAATTGGGTAGTGAAGACAAGGGTGATGTCCTTACAATTCTTATGCCTTTCTGTATTCCTGAAATATTTCAAAATTTAATTAAAAAAAAAAACCAAGATGTTGGGGACAGAATGAAGAACGTTATAACCTACATGTTAAGAGTGTCAGTATTATAACAAAGTGAGCCAGATTGCCCCCCAAAAAATTTGGTCTTGACTCTTGAAGGTACCAGAGACCATGGAGAGCAAGAATAAAGCATGGGCTAACCAAGAGGAAAGGGGAAAGTCTGTCTCTGGATCTTTGGATCCCTAGATACCTGCCCCACTAGAAAACTATCTCTCCCCAGTTTCTACCACCATAGAAGATGAGCAGTTTATTCTCCAGAGAAATTGAGTCACATCAGTTCAGAATTCAGGCACCTCTCATCATAAACGGCCAGGTGAAAACAGCAAATTAATTGAAGATCAACATACTGAACAGTGGGATCTTCCATCCCGTCTCTGCCTGGCTCTCAGCCCTCCAGGAGCTAGACGTATATGCCCACAGGCAAGAGCCTAGGAAACTACAACCTGTGGGCCAAGTCTACTCCACTCTACTGTTCTTGCAGATAAAGTTTTATTGGAACCCAGTCACGCACATTCATTCATGAATTATTTATGACTGCTTTTTGCTGCAACAGAAGAGCTGAGTAGTTGCAACAGACACCATCTGGCCTGTAAAACCTGAAATATTTACTGTGTCTTGCAGAAAACGTTTACTTACCCTTGCTCTAGAGAAAAATCAATGTCCCCCAAGGAAAGCCCCCAAATCCCTCATTTGGAGCTCTAGTGAAAAGTCTGGTGAAGCCCTGTCCACATACACACTGAGTTCTCCAAGCAGGTTTTAGTATTTTACTCTTACGCACAAGTGGATGTCCCGAGGTTTTCCAGACATTCAAGGGAAACCCCAATGTGATGCAGTATGATGCAAACAAAGAGCAAAAGGGACTTGGAGGAACCAAAAACTATTTAAAAAAAAAAAACAGAAAATAAAAATATGGAATTAATATCCTCAGAAATATTAATATCAACATCACCTGGGTGGCTCAGTCAGTTCAGTGTCCGACCCTTGATTTCGACTCAGGTCATGATCTCAGGGTCGTGGGATTGAACCCCGCCTCGGGCTTCGTGTTCAACAAGGAGTCTGCTTGAGATTCTCTCTCTCCCTCTCCCTCTGCTCCTCCCCCTCCACTCGCACTCTCTCTCTGTCTCTAAAATGAATAAATAAATCTTTTAAAAAAAGAAGAAATATTAATATCAGATATCAGAAGATATTTCATCCATACATCAAGAACTAGATCCTATGATAAACAAGAGTGAACTCTGGAAACTTAAGAAAGTGATAGCCCAAATTAAAAACATAAATAAATAACAAGATGGAAAGGACTGTCAAGCAAAAAGACAAAAAGATGAAAAATGGCAGGGCAAATTTAAGAAAATTAGATTACCAATCCAGAATGTCCAATGTTCAACTAGAAAGAATTATAGCAAGAGAAAACCAAGGAAATGACGGGTATGAAATTAGCAAAGAAGTAATACTTCTGGGAAATTTTTTTTAATCTCTTGCACCTTACACCCAGCACAGTAAATAAAAACAACCATCAAGGGCCAGGGTGAAATCTCAGGGCACTGCAACGATGAAGAGAAGGCTCTGTCTCTAGAGAGGAAAGACACTAAGCAAAAGAACAAGACTCAAACTGGATCCAGAATAAAACTGGATCAGCAGTAACACTGGATGCCAAAAAGCACAGTAGAGCATCACCCTCAGAACCCTGAAGGAAGATAATTTTTTCCCTGGGGTTCTGTGTCCAGCACTGTCAGCCAAGTATAAAGATAAAATAAAAATACGTTTAGCCCTGCAAGGACTTGAAATAGTTAGCCTTTATGCATCCTTTCTTAGGAAACGACTCAAGGAGTATTTCAACACAATCAGGGAGTAAAACCAGTAAACAGAGTGAAGTCCAGAAAAGCAAGGGCTCCACACGGAAGTGAATGACGTCCCAGGAGGGTGATTTTACATCAGGCATGTAGAGCCAACCGTCCAGACTGGAGCGAGAGGACTCAAGACTTTGAAGAGAGCACCTCTGGGAGACGGAGAGACAGAACTGAACAACGATTATGTAATGTCTTTAAGATGTGGAAAAATTATTGCTAGGCATTTTACATATTTGTTAGAAGGCTTGAAGAGGGTAGTATGCTACTTAGTGCTGCAGAAGACAATTTGTATCTAGTTTAATAATGTGGACAATAATAAATACTGATTTAACAGAAATTATTATATGTCTCTTAGGAGGATCATGGGAGGAGATGGGGGTGGGAGATTTGGGGACTGGTGAAGGGAAAGTTAAATCCTCATCTAAAATTGATAATCAAGAACAACTATAAAAACCAAATTTAGAAATATACAGGTAAGTGCTAAAGGAAACAGAAGGGTAGAAAATATAATAAGTCTCTGTGAGAAGGGATAGGAGAAAAAAAAATCTCTATTTTTTTTTTGCTAAAATTGTTGTTTTTGTGTGTGTGAAATCATTTAGTACTATGTTATTGTTTTAAAAAAATTATGTGGCCGTTTAAATTATAACTGATAAAACTAAGTCGCTCTGTGGAATAATGCTTATAATGCATTACCTCCTTTTGGTCTATCAGGATTTTAGTCTTTGTAATAAGGAAGTCTCCCAGGTAGGAACACTTGGCTGGCAGCCTGGAGGGCTTCTAGTGTCCTTGGTGTGACCCGGACGCCCTGAGATCCGTAGTCTCTGTGAGAGGGTGATACACAAGCAGGTTTGGACTTGTGTATCAGTCAGGCTAGCGCAGCCAGGAACGGATGCACCAGGGTTCAGGTAAAGAGTAAAGTGGGGAGAAGATATAAAATGCCTACATAACTATGACTGCATGATGCAAAAATGATGCATTCGTCATGAGAAGGAAACAGTTGGATTTGTCCCAGAATTGGGAGTAAAGGTGTTTTCCCTTTAACTTAGAATTATATAAAGACAGAATGTTTGTGTAAAAGGGAATACAAGTTTTTACAGGAAATCAGTGGTGTTCTTTGCTTCCCTCCTGCAGCTTAATTGCTTACACGGAACAGTATGTGGAATATGATCCTTTGGTCACGCCGGCTGAGCCCTCCAATCCCTGGATCAGCGACGATATCACTTTATGGGACATAGAGATGAGGTAAAAACAACAAAAAAAAAAGTTTTAGTGTTTGAGAAGGAAAGAGATGTGAGAAAAAAATCATGAGATAGTGAGATTACATTATTTCCTATTTTAATTTGACGATTTTTATCACTAGAACAGAAACCCCTCAAGTTACCTCCTAAGTCCTGCCCACACATGGTTCTACCTCCCTATAGCTTCGCTTTGTACATGGATACTCAGTGGCTTTCTCTGACTTCTCTCTGACCCTTGGATATCATGATAACGGGGACAGTCCTTCACATTTCCCAGTTCTTTTTAAGATTTTATTTATTTATTTTGAGAGAGAGAGTATGGGGGTACAGAGGCAGAGGGAGAGAATCAGACTTCCTGCTGAGCGCAGAGCCTGACAAATGCGGGGCTCGATCCCACGACCCTGAGATCAGGACCCCAGCCGAAACCAAGAGTTGAGCACTCAACCAACAGCCACCCAGGTGCCCCCCATTTTCCTAGTTCTGATTGCTGAAGGGGAAAAAAAATCTGTCAGCCAGTTTGTTTGTATATAACAGCAGCAGGAACAATAGTAAGAGCGAGCATGGACTCAGCACCAGCCACATGGTGTCTTGCCTGGAGTCCCCACAACAGGTAAACAGTAGTCTCATCATTGAACAGATGAGTAAACTGAGGCACAGAGGAGTTAATGAACTTGCTCGAGGTCACGCAGCGAGTGGGTCAGAATTAGGGTCAGAACCCAGACAGCAGGCTCCAGAGCTGTGGTTTTCATAACTCTGCTCTCGGGGAGTGACTGCAAGTAGCTCTTTGCCTGTGAGGGAAGGTAGTGCGTTCTTTGACTAGCCCAGGAGCCAAAGCCCAGAGGGACTTGGACCAGAGTCACAGTCACCGAGGGAAGTGCACAGACACATCTGGTGTGGTGTGCCTTTGCACCCACTGCCCCTCGGCTAGAAGACTTTTTATTTCATTTTTCATTTCTTTATATCTCCCTCATTCGCTTTCACTCTTGCTCTTTTTCTGGTTTCTTATGTGGAAATGAAAAAATCTTATAAAAAGTAATAAAAGTCTGGGGCGCCTGGGTGGCTCAGTCAGTTAAGCGTCTGCCTTCGGCTCAGGTCATGATCCCAGGGTCCTGGGATGGAGCCCCGCATCGGGCTCCCTGCTCTGCGGGGAGCCTGCTCCTCCCTCTCCCCTCTCCCCCACTCGTTCCCCTGCAGGCTCTCTCTCTCAAATAAGTAAATTGAATCTTAAAAAAAAAAATAAAAAATCTTTTAAAAAAAGTAATGAAAGTCTTTTGTGACTTTTATATTTTGCTTATTATAAAAAGTTCAAACTAGTTAGATGTACATAGCAAAGAAAAGTCTCTCTCCCCGCCCATCCAATCTCACCTTCCAGAAAGAATCTTTGTTTATAGTCTAATGCCGTGGTTCCCAAACTGAGCCAGGGCACCCTGGACCACTGCAGGGAATTCACAGGGTTACCCCAGGATATTCTGTATCCTTGAGGGAAACACCGTGGCGTCTGACATGTTTCCGATACTGCATAAAGTACTAGCTTAACATACTTCACCGTTTTCAGCATTTCATATTACATTCTTTTCTTTGCAAATCTGGGTTTTCAGGGCAGTTGCTATGATAAAAGGCAAGTACTGTGCAAAAATCAAAGTGGAACAGAAAATGAGCATGTTGGGGTCCAGTTTGATTCCAAAGTTTGAGAAGATGTACAGTGCTCAACAGGCCCACATTGTAGTTATTTAAGAATGAAGTAAACATTGTTTTTTCTTTCAATTTATATGTACTTTGTAGCTAGTAAGTTTTAGGACATAGATATTTATTAAGTCCTTTGGACCTGACTATTTAAAACAAAGCTGTTACATGGTTTTTTTTGGCCCAGGGACACCATGAAAAATTTACTGAGACACTAAGGGTGCCATGAACTCAGGGAGTTTAGATTCTTATGTATATACAGTATCATATTCTTTTGCATAAATGGATTCATTATATATACATTGTCCCATAATTTTTTAATTAATATATCATGGGAACACATATAAATCCACCTTATCTTTTTCAGTAACTACATAGTGTCCCCTTGTATGAGTGTAGTATAATGTATTTAACCAGTCCCCAGGTCATAAATATTAAGGATATATCCTTTTGTTTTGTTTTGTTTTGTTTTGCTAGTGTAAACAATGATGCAAAGAACATCCTTATACACAAGTCCAATTATTATTTTAGGATAAACTTCCAGGAGTGGAATTGCTAGGCCTGGCATGTTAATTTTGATTTTAGTTCATATGGCCAGATTCCTCTTAAGCAAAATAGTATCATTTTTTCATACCCACAGCTTAAAAGTGTCCATTTCCCCACATTCCTCACCAACTCAAGCATTATTCTCAAGGATTATCAATCTTTGTCATCTTTGCATGTGTGATAAGTTAAAGTAAAAATCTCATTTTTTTTCCATTTCTTTGTTGAAAGACTTGAGAATCTTTTCTCATGGTTGATATTCATTTTTCTCTTGTGACTTGACTGTTTTGTGTTCTTCACCCACTTTTCTAATGGTGTATTTTGCTTTGGACATTGGGATAGAAAACAGTTACATTTTACTTGGATTATATATTTTATCTTTTCCTGATATTTCATGTTTTCCCGATCTCGTTCTTCTTGTTTCTTTTCCTCTTCCCTGATTTTTGCTTTATGAATCAAGTTTTGTATTAGCTTTCCTTATTCTAGTTTCTATTCTAATCATATTTACTATTAAATGTTTTAATTTTTAATCAATGGCATCAATTCATGCAAATAATAATAAATTATGTAAAATAAAAAATAGAAATTTCCCTTTGCCTCCTTCAAATCCCATTCTTCTTGATAGGTCTATTAACCTGATATATTTTAGACCAACATACTGGGACTTAATATTTCTCCATCAACATTAAAAGAAAAATAGTTTGTTGATGAGTATCTTCTTTCTAATAGTTCTGACGTGCCCTACATCATCCCTTCTAATCTGATCCAAGAATTTAAATCTTTCCTTAACTCAAGGGGTTTCTCTCTCTCTCTCTCTTTAATCACTAATACTCTTTTTTCTGTTTTATCCTCTCTTCTCAGGAAATCCTCTTGTAGAAACTCTGAGCCTCTGGGATGGAGCAGCCATATCTCTTTATCTTTTTCTCTTTTATAATTCCCATCTCTTAGTCTTTTTGTGTTATATTCAAGGATAGAATTCCTTGAATTACTCTTCAGAGCTTCCGGCTTGGTGTTCATTAATGTCTGCTCTGTGATTTTATACTTTATGAGTTTTCTTTTCCTACTGAGTTTTGGGAGGGCCCGTTGACAATCATGCTTTTCATTTCCAAGAATTCTTACTATTACTTGGACTCCTTTTTCTTAGTAGCCTGCTCCGTCTTTTTTATATTTATCCTCTTAAATCCCCCTGAGGGTGTGATACAGGTTTTGTTTTGTTTTGCTTTCATACTTCCCCTCTATTTCTGACATAGTCTGTTTCGTTGGGGGTCATTGATCACAGAATCAATCACTGTGACTAATCACCGTTCAGAGCAGATCCGTCCGTCTTTTCATACACCCAGCAACTTGAGGGACTGTTGGTTTTCATAAGTGAAGCTCTTGGCTGTCAACTCCTGCCACACATTAGAACCACCTGGAGAGTTTATTAAAAAACAAACAACAACAACAAAAACAATGCCCAGTCCCCTCCCTAGGACAACTCAATCAGAATTTTTGGCAGTGGGGCATTGGTTTGTCTGTTTGTTTGTTTTTCATCTGTCCAAGTGATTCTAGAGGGCAGCCCTGATCCAGACGGACTGGATTGTAGCTGATGAGGATTCCCGCAATAACTGGGCGGGGCGGGGGTGGGGGGCGGTCTGTGGTTTTCAAAGCACAGGGTACATCAGAATTACCTGGGATGCTCATTAAGAAGACAGATGCCCCAGGGTGGTTCGGGGTGTCTGTATTTCTGGCAAGTGTTCTAGGTGATTCTGCGGCACAGCAGTTTGAGAGGTCCTTGTGTGGTTCACAGAGTCCCCACCGTCCACCCCAACGCAGGCTCTCCTCTGAGCCATCCACATAGCTGTAGGGTTTCACCTGAGAGTGTTTTGGGGGGCCATAGGTCAGTCAGCAGGGTCCCTCTGGGTCCTGGCCATGTGAGTCAAGAGCAGACTGAAAGACTGGGTCCCCTCTCAGAGCAGGACAGGTGGTAGAGCTCCACGGTCCCTTAAGCCGGGTGCTCTGCTCTGTCTCAGATCCTGATGGGGTTTCTGAAGCTCTTCAGTTTCCTCTCCATGGTGCTCCCAATAAGTCCACTCTTCTCCCTTCTGTTGAGGGGTCTTAGGGAGCCTGATTAGATTGTAGAAGTCAGTGAAAGGTAGGGAAAAGGCTGGAATGTCTTTAGAAGTTTCTCTGCTTTGCTGAGATGATTTTCCCTCTATATTTGCTGTTCACCCTGAGATTACAGAGGCACTACTCTCTGGTTTTATTACCCATATTAGCCAGAAAACACCCCCCATTTGCTGAGGAGACTCTCTCTGCCATAGGGAGCCTCTGGTCCATATTTGTTTTGTTTTGTTTTTTTATCTGGTCCATATTTCTGCGTTTCTTCCACATGTCCCCATCCAATGCCCACCAATTGCCTCTACTTCCAGTCCTGCTGCTCAGAGCTTGGGGTTTTCCCAGGCTTCTGTTGGGGACCCAGCTAATTTCTTTTCAGATGGCCACAGAGACACAGGTTCAATCAGTTGATACCACTTCAGTCCATCTGCTTTATACCTTCCCCAAATTCCTCAGAGTTTATCATCTGCTGATAACAAATTTCTTTGCCTCTACATACTACCTATTTGTTTTCTTTCTAACTTTATTTTAATGAACTCCAGACTCTTGCCTGTGGCTTCTTCCTGGCCTGCTTCCTCAGAACCTCTCCTGGCTGGTTTCCCTTCTCCTTCAAGTCTCACTCAGCATTGGTGACCTTTCCTCAGAAAGGTCTGCTTGATCACTCACTCTCTAGTGGTCACC